TATCTGATGTGGCCATGTTGGTGGTGTTAAGTGTGAGTGAGTCGGTTCCAACTCAGAGAGAGCCTGTATAGGATTTTCCTTGTGGCTAGCAGTCCAGTGCTTATCCTACAGCACCACACCAGGAATCGCAAAGGAAGCCACCACAGACGCTCTGCATGACAGTGTTTTCCAGGAAACCAGGAAAAGCAAAAGCTCCGAATCTGAACTCAGGCATTAAGAATGCTAGAAGATGAAGAATCACCGCTCATTTTTCCCACAAAGAAATACATTTGTTTATGATTTTGCACTTCTAAATACTCAGAAAGTACACCACGAAGTACTTTTACCTTAACACTCCTTTTTAAATCCCTAATAACAACTTCATGTGCTCCCGAGAAACAGACCATGTAATTTATTCAGGAAAATTAAAACCAGTAATCTGGTATTCTGTGTAAAGATTTTTTTCCCCTGCATGTGCTCTGTTTTGTTTTGAAGAAAAGAAATCCACATGTGAAAACAAAGTCTTTAAAGTGAATTACTATCTCAGAAAATCAAGCTCAGAGAATCCCATAAAGTAGCCATTTTCTTTTTCTGGTCCTTTATTGATCAAAGAAAGCAATTTGGGGCATTTTAAGAACTAGACAAGAAAGAAACTGCTCAAGTTAGAAAGGTTCTGCCCTAGAGGAGATGGGGGTTTGTTTGTTTATTTTTTTGGCAATGACAATCTATAGTAACTATGTATAAATCCAGAGCAAGCCATGTCCAGAATAACTATACTTCACAAGCTTTGCTGAGTTTGAGACATCTACATAGCAACAGACTCATGATGGGGAAACATTAATGCTTTTGATATTGGTACGTAATTATCTGTAACATGAGCAATTAAATATAGTACTAATGGACTATGGTCAGGAGCCTGGTACTAATATTAAAAACTGACAGAGATGAATAGGTTTGGAGGCAAGGCCCAGCTGACAAAGACAGTTTTATGAAGTGCTTGGACCTATTTGATTTAAACCAATCAGAGACAGGTTTGGATGTGTAAGGCCCTTTAGCGACAATGACGCATTTATAGGCATTGTACCATTTCTACTGTGCCTTAAATAAAATCACCCATTGATTCTTTTCAACAGCCCATACTTTCATTATTATACTCATTAATAAATCAAAAGTGCCCAACTAATACACAAGTAACATTTATTGAGGAGTTGGCTACATTTTGCTTGTTGTAAAATGAAACAACATTTACTGGAACCATGAACCACACTACATGAAAAATAAATCAGTGGATAATGCATAGTGGATCATTTCATTTCTTCTCCAAAATAAGCTGGTGCTGGGGAAGAAAACGGGCAAGCCTCTATATCAGAGTGAGAAGAGTCAGACCAACCACATACGAGGGGCTTCAATCTTTCCAGTCTGGTTTGAAAGAAGCGTTCCAAGGTTTGAAAAGTTCGCAAACTATATGTTTACCCACCCCATCTCAACTCCTTGAATCTAATTGCAAATGTCGGTCTTTGACCAATTTGCCATCTGTTTTATTTTTGTTAGTGCAGTCTGTGACTCGTAAATATTAATTAAATCCACCATAATCAATGAACATTGTTAAAATTAAGAGCCAAGAGCTTTAGTCTCTTTGACCAGAACAGAACTTGTTTCAAGTCCTGGGATAGATGGGAGTATCCTCTACCCTTCTCTTGTGTAACCAAAGAGAAGACACCTAGAGCCATAGTTTCCAGCTTGTTTTCTCCATAATAAGAATACTGGCGGTTGGTAGTTGCTGAGCCAATTCTGACTCATGATCCCAAGTGTGCACAGCAGAATTGCTCCAAAGGTTTTTTTTCAAGGCTGTAACAATTTGGAAGTGAATAGCCAAGACCTATCTTCTGACGATGGAGTCCTGGTGTGGCGCTGTGGGGTAACACACTGGACTGCAAGGTTGTTGGTTCAAATTCACCAGCCACGCTTCAGAGACCCTATACAGAGTTGCTATGAGTCAGAACCGACTCAATGGCATGCAACAATAGCCTTCTCAGACACCTGTAGGGTAGGATCAGCCTGCTAACCTTTCAGCTAGTCTTTAGGACTCAATACACCCAGGGACTCCTAGCACATCACAGAGCATCTAGGATTATAGGTGATCTCTTTGAGTCCATGATTTGTTTGAATGTTAATTTCTAATTATTCATGACACACCTTGCATCTAATCACAAAAGTGTGGGAGAAGCTTACATGGAAAAAAAAAGAAATGGCAAGGAAGGGTTAAAGCCCTTGCTAACCACTGGGATGTTTGTGCTCTGCAATACCATTGGTGGTGTAGCCACACATATGGAAGAGCTTTTTGTGTCAGGGGTGGGTGGGGGGTGGCCGAGGGCGGCACCCACCTTCTGTACTCTGTTTGGAGATGCTAGGGATGGGTCTCTGCAAATGATACTTGTCTTTTTCCAACTGTCTTCTTGCTGGATTCTGCAATTTAGGAGGAAAAAGATCTCCTATATGTTTGTTGCTCCTGTCTTGTCAACCACAAAACAACTAACCAGGAGCAGTGGGTCCCAATCTCTAGCTTCTTGAAACAATCTAGACAGTTTCAATGCATTCCCTCTGAAATTGACACCATCAAGGGAGCACTGCCTCCTCAGGTGAGCCCCAGAGGCAAAAGGTTCCTTTCTCTGAGTCCTAGTGGTAGTAGGGTGGCTTCCTCATTTCCGAAGGATCTGAGCCCTAGCTCTGTGAGGTTCATTCTCTGAATGGCTCTGCTGTGATACACATGTGTCGTCTCTCTATTCTCTCAGCTGTAGGGCACCTGCAGTTATTACCTCTGTCATTTTGGTGTTCCACACCAACACCTGCTTAACTAATTCCCTACACTGCATTCTCTTTGCGGGTTCGTTCTTCTTGACTGGTCCCTGAGAGGTAAGACTAGACTACCAAACAAATTCTGGGTTTGAAAGAGTGAATAAGTAGCACAGCTCTTCAAAAAAATGCCATCCAGTGTGAGACCAAACCTTCATGACACAACCACTCTGCTTGCAAGAAGTACGGGGGAAATTTAAAATGCCTTTTCAGTGGCTAAAGTTTGAAGTTTCTTTAGTAGAATGTTTTAATTTATTTGACTGATTTAAAGTATTTGGGATTCTGCCACTTCAAGTAGAGGTAAGCCACGAGACAATGTATATACTTGTCAAAAATGTATCTTGGTATTGTATTAGGGATTCAGGATTCACTTATACAATTGCTTGAGTAAATAAAACACACACACACATACATTAACACAGACCCAGTCTTTCCATTCATTCCAAATCTGGCCTGCTTTTTTGTAGTTTTTTTTTTTTAAACCATATTATGTTTTGTATAAGAGTTCTGGTGTGGTGCTATAGGATAAGTGCTGGACCACAAGGTCAGTTTGAACTGTAAGGTCTGTGGTTCAAACCCACCATCACCTGTCCCTCAGAAACTGGGTCTCTATGAGTCAGAACACTTGATGGCACTTAACAATGACAACAAATGCTTTGTGTTTAGTTTGATATGTGTTCATTCTTGAACTAGGTGAGTCAGCATTACCTATTTTAAGGAAATCTTCTGTACTATAACACCATCACATGGACTCTGGTAGTGCACTGGTTATGAGTGAGGCTGCTTAATCTCACGGTCAGCAGTTCGAAACTATCAGCCACTCTGAGGGAGAAAGATTAGACTTTCTACTCCTGTAATGATTTACAGCCTCAGAAACCCTAAAACAGGGGTCGCTATGAGTCGGAAGTGACTTCAGGGCACATAATCACCACCACTGTAATACTGTCAAGTAAGGCAATCAATTGGAAGTTTTTGTAGTGACTTTTCATGGGATAATGAACCCAACACAATTCACTACAATTACTTCACCAAATACATTCTTTGTCTTGGATGAATGGTCATATTAAAGAGCCTCAGAATTCAATGCAGTATGAAAAAGTACAATTGAATTTGGAAGAAACATAAAGAATGAACGAACAAAAAGTTAAATGGCATTATCTGAGGGCATTAAGGGTCTTGTTAAACTTGGGATGGGCATTGGTTACGAGAAGAAAACTTTTGAAAACTGCATGCTACTGGCCTACTTGTTCAGCTAATGAGCTGTGTGTCTTCACTTCATTCCATCTGTGGCCATCACTCAACATCTCTGCACGCCCCACCCTCCAAACACACACACACACACACACACACACATACACACCCCTTTATTTCGTTCTCACAAGCTTTAAATTTAAAACCAGGAGGCTGAATGAATCAGCACTTTAACACAGAAAGGCCGGTGATAAGGAAGTAAGTATAACTTAAAACAAATGAAGTCTGAACTTCAAGCATAAAGCAAGGATGATGCATGAATTTGCTAACTGGCCTTCAGTGCTGCGGGTATTGAGTTCTGATACCAAGAGGAAACGTTCCTGTGGATGCAGCCTTCATCGTAGGCTAGCTTTGTTTTATCTTTTGTTAGTATCATCATCATCTTTCTGAGAGAGGCTAAAATTGTTTGAAAACTAAGCCACACAGAGCCTGGCAAGAAAGGATTTCCTGGGTGTAGCTGGAGAAGCAAAATACCAAGATGGGAAAAAACAACCAAACTTAATCTGAAGCCAATTCTCTTATTTTTAGAAATGTTAATAATATAGCTACAGTGCAACCTCATAGTAACATCTCAGATCTATTTTCTAGAAACGGAAAGTTCTCACATTAAATGAACCTACAGAGAAATGTGCTGAATAACCTATGCTTTGGGATGAGGGAGGATGCGTATTCTGGCAGGTGGTCATAGAGTAAAACCAAATGAAAAGAGCACCTAATTTTAGCTCTATAGCCAGAGAAAGTCTCTTCACCTTAAAAAAAAAAAAAAAAAAATCACAAAGTAAAGTAAAATGTCAGAGGGATAGTTTCTGTTTCTTAACGAATCCTTTAGACTTCTTTTGTCTTATCTGTAACTAGAAGCATCTTCTAACTAATGCACTTTAAAAGAAGCAAGAGCTTCCCCAAAACGGGTTTCTTACCTTTCATAATGTCTGCGAGTACAAGTGGCGGCGCTGGTGCTCCCAGGATTACCACCCAATTCATCATAAATATGTTTCCATTGACGGCGGGCTGTTATCTGTAAAAATGGTTATGGGAAATTCAATCTTGCATCGTAAGAGATTCACCACGCCAGGCTTCAATACATATGCAACAGTCAGGAGAGAACAATCTGTTCTGGAAACCCAGAAACAGGAAGTCTAAATGAGTATATGGGGAGACTTATGGTCTGAAAGTGAGAGCTGACTTTCTGCCCTTCGTTTTACAATAAAGGTGAAAGCAATGCTACTTGTGGCCTTATACTGTTACACTTAGTATATTTTCATCTAAGGTCCCTCCCTGAATATCCACATTTTCATTTGCCCCCAAAGTGCCAAACTCAGAGCCTGTTCCTTATGTCATGTGATAATGCATTAAAATAAAACCAGACTTTAGAACCTGAATTAATGTTGGTTGCCTGAGGGATGTGGAAATGAGTGGCTGGGGACATATATGAAAAGGGAAATATTTCACTAAACATGCTTTAGTGTCTTCTGAGTTTTGAACCGTATGATGTGTTGTCTACTTAAAAAAATAAGATGAAAAATTAATTAAAAAGATCAAACTGGTGGTGGAATTTATAGTCATCTCAAGCTATATTTTTATGCCAGCATTTCTAACCACCAAAACAAAACCAAAATCCGAAACTGTATATGTCACAAGCTGTTTATTTTTATTCACTTAGGTCAGAAAAATGGGATATCGACCAAGTCCTATGAAAACTAACATATTCCAAAGCTAACATGCAAACTATATATATTATTGAGCTGTGTGAATAAAAATAAACAGCTTGCAATATACTGAACTGCATAGTATGGTCTTGTTTTTGCTTTCCCCCCCCCCTTTCAGTTTTATTTTTGTACATAAATGAAGATTCTACAAAATAACAGATGTAAGATCTGGCAAATGATTAATTTTGGGAAACCACGTCATTTACTACATCCAAGCAAGTCTTGTGTTTCCTTGAAACTAGAAATGGAGAAGAAGTTTCTCTCCTCTGCGGTCCTGGATGAACATTTCTAAACAGGGAGGGTCCAGGAGAGCCAGAAAGCCACCTGTGTGTGTCTGCAGGAAAAGCATCACTCCTGCCATCCTTGTATCTCTTGTGTGCATAATATTTTACACTTTAGAAGGGATTTTTACATCCATGATTTCATTTAATCTCCCATGCACCTGTGAGGCAGGTTTTAGGGATTCTCATTCACAGGTGAAGGAAGTGAGACTCACAGATGTATGACAGGCCCAATGACACACAGTGGCAGAATGACAGAGGCCCAACTCATAAGCAATATCTTGTGCCCCCACAAAGCATGCTTTTCCCAAAATGGCCTTCATATCAGAATAGACCTTTCAATGCCAGGTCCTTTTCTTTCAAATGAGGGCACATGACCTTGGGAATTAGCTTCTGCTATGAGTTCTCGACTTTGGGTTCTGGATCTTCCCAGTGGGACAATGTAGCTAAGACGTCAGTAAGAATCGAAGTAGGGTGGGTACGGTTAGGTTAATGGTTATGTGAGACTTTAAAAGTATCAAGTAAAACTAATGCTTCCTTCCACCCGAGCCATTTATGTCTCGAGTTAGAACTCCCTCCCCCCACTGCCATCGAGTCAATTCCAACTCACAGTGACCCTAGATAGCATTTCCCAGACTTGACATCTTGTAAAGATGTAAGGAGCAGACAGCCTTACCTTTCCCCCACAGAATGGCTTGAACCACCAACCTTGTGGTTAGCTTAACCCACAGCACCACTAATCAGAACAGAGGTTCTCTATTAACATTCACCACCGAGTCACTGATTAGTTCGAACTCTACTGGACTCCATCACTCACTTATCCATTCATTCAATGACAAATTCTTGAGCAACTCCAGTTATTGAGACTGAGCATCTAGCTTGAGAATATTACAGTGAAAACCAGACCCCAAACCCGTGAAGACTGCATTCTAGTGAGGAAGGCCAACATGAGCAAGTGAACAAAAATATAAACAAAGTAAGAACAGAGTGTGAAACCTGTGATGAAGGAAAGAGCCCACTGCTGATAGGGTTTTTTAACATGAAAACTGACCAAGTCCTCCACAGCTTAGACTAGGGAATGTCCTGTTAAATATTTGCTGATCATAGAAACAAGACTTCTTTAAGAATAATCATCAAAAGGGAAAAAGCCTTCCTCACACTACTAGAATTGAAACCATGGCAGCAAGAAGCCAGAATCATCATTAATAAGTCATGCACAGCAAGCTAGGGGTCTATCAGCCCCCTGAGAGCACGTTCTGGTGTTTAAATGAACTGTATTTAGTGAAAAAAGTGCTAGGCCCTTCCATGAAGTGGACTCTCTGTTTACTGAGGTTCCACTGGTCGGCCTGGATGAATCAGGTCATTTAAGATATTTTCTTTCCACAAGAAAGTCCTAAAATGTGCTCTTACCAATTGCTAAATGCTTCTGATACACGGTGCCCTGGGTACACATCTCTATTTTTGTCTTTTGATGTACTTGTAATTCAAAAGTTAACCATAGGTGATAAGGCAAATCATATCTCAAACCTCCAATTTTCCACGCCTATGATGGGTATTCAACTTGTCTTAACTAGATACCATTTAATTGATTCCGACTAAGGGTGACTGTAGCATTTCAGAAACAGATGACCAGGACTTTCTTCTGAGGTGCCTCAGGGGGTGGGGGGGTTCAAACTATTAACTTTTGTATCAGCCAAATTCCTCTAATATAACTTTGTTTCTGTTGCTGTATGTGGTTACGTCAAGGCCAGTCATACAATCATAGCAACTCTACAAGGGAGCAGATCACCAGTCTTTTCTCCCATGGAGTGGCTGGTGGGTTCAAACTGCCAACCTTTTGGTTAGCAGCTAAGATCTTAAATACTTGTGCTACCCAGGATCTTCTTAATTAAGGGTCTGCCTTAATAGATCCACTGACATCAAGTTAATTCCAACTCACAGCATGGGGTTTCCGAAAGCCTCATCTTTCTCCCATAGAGGGGCTGGTGGTTTGAACTACAGTGCTTATCCTAAAATGCCACCACGATTCTTGTATACCTTCATAATACCTATTCAGGTATCTGTTTAGCATTTTTATTCCGCAATCCATTGTCTTTTCATGAAGTGTATTAGCGCTAAAATTCCATCTGGAGTAGAAACTGTATGTCCCTGCTGATATCTAGCTCCCAACCCCATTCAACTGGAAAGTTTGATATATTTTGGGGCTGGTTTGATTAAGTATCTCACTGAGCTTCAAGTTTCTCGGTCACTGTTCAGATATCATTCTAACCTTCTATTAGTCTTGGTTTTAAAGGGTACAAAGAATGTCTGGATCTTTGGTTCCTAGGGAAAACTGCAAGATCCATATAAACAGTATTTCCCCTGGATGGTGCACGGTTTCCTGTCACCCTCTATAAGACTGGCCCTCACTGGAGTGCGTAAATGCTGGAGACAGAGCCATAAAATAGCAAGGCGAGTTGGAAGATGAAGCGTTGGGAGATATCATGAAGAGAAAGACACTATTCATAATTTATTGGGAAGCATGTTAAGTGCAGTTGAGTTGGTTCTAACTCATAGTGACCCTGTGTAGGATTTCTGATAGCTGTGGGAGCAGAAAGTGTCATCTTTCTCCCCCGGAACGGCTGTGGTTTGCAGTCCAGTGCATAGTGTATAATAAACCATAAAACAAGATAAAAAAGCTGAACAGACCACACCCAAGTAAAATAAGCCAATCGGCATACGTGTGAGATTTAATCTTACTTTGAAAACACTTAAATATTATTTTCCTAGTGTAAGACAAAGGACTCTGGAAAAACTCTCTATGCCATTATTTACACAGTGGTTTTATCGCTTACTACTAGATAAAGAAGCTCTGGTAGCGTAGTGGTTACGAATCGGGCTGCAAACCTTAAGGTCAGCGGTTCGAAACTACCAGCTGCTCTGCGGGAGAAAGATGAGGCTTTCTACTCCCGTAAAGATTTACACCCTCGGAAACCCTATACAGGGTCGCTATGGGTCGGAACCGACTCAAAGGCACATAACAACAACAACTAGATAACAGGAGTACTGGTGTGGCGCTGTGGGTGTGGCGCTGCAAGATCTATTTGAACCACAAGGTCAGTGGTTCAAGCTCACCAGCTGCTCCTCAGAAACCCTACACTGGGTCGCTATGGGCCGGAACAGAGACAATGGCACTTCACAACAACAGCGATAGAGAATAGTTGTCAAACGGTACTTCAGAACCCAGGCGTCGTGAAGGTAGCCTGCAACTAAGTCTTCACGACTTCCCATTCCTGTCAAGAAAATGGGTCTAGTGGGTGGGAAAGGAATTTGCTCTTCAATGTGATCAAATGAAAATATCCTGTCACTTAAAGAAAACGAAAAAAACACTCTTTTAACCCAAGATATTATCTTGGAGATTGGATTCTCTACTATTTGAAGTTGCACTGAAGGAAATAATCATGGTATTTTTGAGAAACCACTATCAGAAATTTCTTAGGACTTATGTTCTGCTGAGGCTTAAGAACCCATAGGAGATGTGAAGTCAGGAGAGTGGTTTGCCTGCGAGAGGTGTTGGTCAGGCTGCTGGGAGAAATAGCTTCTTTCTCTGGACACCTTGAGGACGGCATGAATTCAAGGAAGATAACTTTTTTTTCCTGGTAAAACTCCAGGAACTGGAGCTTTTCAAAGTGACATGACATCATCTTTGGCCTTGAGAATTTTGAATTAATAAGCAAGAGACTTTGTCCAGAAAACTAGGGTTAGCTTCAGAGGAAGTCTTGAAAATGATGTCAAAACCAGAATTTGATGTCAAAGCTGAATCTATCCAGCGAGAAACCAAGCAACTTCTCCCAGATAAAAAATCATGGTCCTGTCTCATCCATGGGAAGGGAGGGGGGCTTCAGCTGACATTCTTAGAAGAAGGCACCCCTGTGCATAGTCTCTGCCTGAGGATAAGATTTACTCAAGACCCATGTCCCTGTTCTACTTTAGCATACTGCCACTGGCTTGCTATTAAATGGTTAGCCAAATGGAAATCACTTTAGCAA